TCAGAGGGACGCCTCGACCGGATTTCCTATTCTCTTCTTCGGGATGAATCCGCGTTTGCCATTTTCTTTTGACATGACAGAAGACACAGCATTAACGAAACGATACGCAAAAACAGCGATAACAAAATTGCAATAATAAACAACGTAAACAAAGAAGGTTTAAAACAATTATTACAGTAACAAAAAATCTAACAACACCCCTACTCAAAACTTCCGCACACACTACGCACTTTTGAAATAACTTCACGACGCTTGACTTCACTCAGCTGGTTAACCACAACACTCGAGGCCCGCGATTCTTTTCTTCTCTAATTTTAGGAGACAACAGTGTCCTCATGCCGAAGCTTCTGATTCGCTGGTGCTTTAATTGCGATTTTTGCAACTCTGCCCCTGGCAGGTATCAGCTGTTTTCGGTTTCATCCAATTGAGTCACTAGGGTGACGTTTCAGCTCCCGATTAGATGAAACTGTCAAATGCTGATACCTACCATGGGTAGAATTGCGAAAATCGCAGTATATGTTACGGCGCTGGCGTCTTCATGTGACCATGAAATGTCAAATCACATTCTTATTTTATTCGGACGTTAATCTTTAGTCATGTCTATTCTCCGTCCATCGAGAGAATGAAATAGATGAAAACATAACGGAATATATCCTTCCGTCGAAGCGGCGTGCTCCGAACCCTCTGCTGTAATATAACAGTTGTCAAAGCTCTGTTCGTACTAATACCGTGCTCGCTGTGACAATCTCATGTCCATCCACACGTTGCACAATATCCTTCGGTCTATCGAAATGTGTAGCATGCGCGAAACAAACCGACGATTTCAAGACAGGAAACGAAATCGAGGCATGCAAAGGAATAATTCATTCAACACATTATTTATTAATGGTATGAATGAATTATATTACATTATTTTTTAATGTTAATAGTAATGTAATTTTATTGCCAATAAGATTTCGAAATTCATGCACACAACGAAAATCGCAAACTGTCCTGCATTGCACTTCAAATAGTCTTAAAATTGTACACACCTCTTAACAATCGATTTTGATACTGCTGCATTCCACAAGTCACATTCACTCACACTGTCATTCGCATTAACGAGCTCAAAACTAATATCTCACTATGCGATATAACACGTGTTGCGCGGTCCGCCATTAGAAGGAAACTGCTCCTCACGTGATACGTGCCATCTGATTATTTTCGCTTGTCCTTGCATTTCACGAATAAACTCATATAATGTAAAGTAAATGAGCACTTATGTATCTGTTTTTTCCGTATGATTACGAGTGTTCTATTGTATAAAACATAGTTACTTAAATTTCCCGGAACTATTTTCTTACGCTTACGCCTAAAAAAGTGCCAGGAAGTGTGTGAGTCGTGGACTTGCAGCCAATCATCGATTGCAAGGCCACGTGCATTTGTTTACATCCACTTCGATCTCATTAAATAAGGAAAGGTTCGTTATTAACAAATGGTATGGCTGTCAAAATTGATAGAACGAGAAGAAAAATCAAAACGGTGTCGAGAAATTCATTTTAATTTTCTACTAGTTTCCTTAAAGTTGTTCTTTTATTCTTTGTTTGAGGACACGCTTTGTCCGTCCCACATAAGAGACATGTCAGCAAACCAAATTTTCTTTATTTGTAAAAGAGATTTTATCCTTAACATTCCTTACTAGATCCTGTTTAAGAAGCAATTTATTCCTAATTTTTATGTCAAATTTTAAATTATAAAACTTTCTGAAGAAAATTATCACAAATTCCTAGAAAAATAATTTACTTCATGAAAAGTTTACACTTGATGAAGCATAAGGGAATTACTCAAAACATTATGTTGCAATTTTATATGACTAATTAAATCTTTTTTGAAAAAAAATGAACATCGATTGTTGATAAACAGAAAAGGATGCCTGTGTCAATTTATTAGTGATATTTATGACAATCGTACATTAAATATATATTTATTTGAATATTAGTTTGAACAATGATATTTAATGTATTAGCTACCATTTGGAAAATTAACTGTATCAGTCTAAAAGACTAAATATGCCTGTAACAAGTAATGTACTTCAGCCTCAGGGTCAATGACCCCTATCTCAATCAGGTTTTCATCCAGTTGCCCTGATTCTTGTAGCAAATACAGAGATGGCGTCTTGTTTTGCTTCTCAATATAAATGTAGCTTCACTATCTGGGCATGTATTCTTAAGCTCTTTAAGGAATGCATTAAAATAATCATTCTCAATTTTCTTGAGGCAGTAAGTAGAGCCCTTCACATAGAACACAAGGGTAATTGGCAATATCTGTAGCCTTTGCAAATAGTTTTCATTGTACCTGAACAAATATTTTCTTACCAATTCGTGCCTAAAAATGCTTGTTGCTAACTGTATTCACCTTAATATAAGTTATTTTGGACAGAGATCTCACAGCTCAAGAAACTATGCACATGTTGCACTTCTCCCTATAGCTTGTCACACAATTTTAACAATTTTTGTCTCTCAATAAATCTAGAAATAAATTGGAGGACATGAGACATGGGTTATCTACCTGACCAAGAGGTTTTGACAGCCAAAGAATGGACATCACATGTGTTGTATTTTTTTGTGAAAGTATTGAGTTTTTATTGAAACTGATTTTGTATAAAACAGTTAAATGTGCTCTTGCGAACAAAATCATAGATTTGAAACTAATGAGGTAATTAATAATATTCAACAGTTTTGATGTAAACAGAGGTAAAATGTTGAACACATCGTTTGTAGCAGTGGATGAGTTACATGTGGCAGGATACAGTGGTGAAAACAACTTCTAAAAACTTACTTTAGTTCTAGTTTATGCCAGAAAATAGCAGTGAATTGACCTCAAATTAAAACTTAAGGTGTGTACATTTTTATTTTAAATTTTTCACGTGTAATTTTGTGTGGTATTGTTTTGGTTTTGAATATCAGAGCAAACAGTGCAAAACTCAATTCTCAATTAAGATACAGTAGATATCTAAATTGCTTAATTAATTAATACTAGTTATTATGTAGTATTAAGCATACTTGATTTCTTGAACATTTTTGTTTTAACTCGTAATGTGATGATTACATACTCATGCCTTCTGGTCAGGCAAAGCCACTGACTATTCAGAGAAATGTGGTATGATGTATATGTCCTACCCACTTGTAAACCGTTCTTTAGATAAAATTGTTCAAGTAATTTTCAAAAGCATTATTATTGGTGGATATACATGAAATCATTTTTTCCTCTTGTTTATTGTTATTGTCTTGCCAAAAGTTACTGCATTAATGTTTGCAATTTAGATTTGGGGAAACTATGCATGGAAGATCATTGTCTCCATAAGAAATCTCTGTTAAAGTATGTCTGTAAGAGTAGACTAAATCATTAGAAACAGCTGCAATATACAGATGACTCTGGTTATAGTGAACTTCTGTGGACAAAGATGTTTGTTTCACTATATCAGAGGTTTACTATAACCAATAATGTCAAAATTTAATACAAATTCTCAACAATGTTTGTTTTGTATTAATATAGAGATACATCAAAATGCATTTACAGCATGAATTCAAAATTTCAATACCTTTATTTGACCTTAAAAAATCATTTATTTTCAATTGTTTGCTTGATACATTTTTCATTAGTAATTTCTCTAAATCCTTCCCCAGAGTTTGTGCTCTTTCCATACTTGATTCTGCATTGTCCACTGTTTGTAAGTTTCGTAATGCAACCTTGACTCTCTTCAGTGCCTTTCACACTGTTGTAATGCCATCCCAGTTTCTGAAGGTCTCTTTACTCTCCTAATAACATACGAGATTCTTTTGGTAGTGGTGTGGCACAAGCGGCTAATGAAACTCATCTTTTTTTGGTGTGGTGCGGCAGGTGCTGCAAGGCTGTGGGGCTGTGGCACTTGCGTGTTTCCTGTCGCCTTCAGCTTCCGCTTTGTCCCCCTGAATCTCAAGTAATGTCATCGCCGATTCGAGTTGCAGCCTATGCAGAACACTGCCTGTTTCCACAGTGAAATTGAGTGACATAAGGTCATCAGTGCCCATTCTGGGTCCACTACCTCCACCTCAGGGGAAACGTCTTTGATTATGACCTTCAGCTGACAATATTTTTTCCAAGCTCCCTAGTGTTAGAATTTGTGGCATTGAGTTAATATATTTTTTCCAGGAAATACTTAATTCTCAGGACCTTGAATTTTCTACATTCACTATAGCAGAGGTTCAGAGTTCACTATAACCAAATCTTCTTGCGCTTGTTTGTAATGTAAGTGGAATGCGACCTGTGACTTAAGGTCACTATATCTGAGTTCACTTTAGCTGGAATCGACTGTAAATGTCATGCCAGTCCTATTGAGAGTTTCAAAAACACTTTAGTATTTCAAAATCAAACTTTGTAATGAAACTGGGGATAAAATCATAAGATTAGGTGTTCTCCATCCAGTTTCAGAGAAAAATGTTTTAAAACTTTTTAAATCTTCATAACTTTGTTTAAATATTTGTAAAAATTATTAAGATTCCAAAATCTATTACTGAACATCTTTCAAAATTGCTGGTTTTCCCTTTGATCCTTGGTTGTGATTGTTGTTGTTATTCCAATTATTGTTGTTGTTTGCAGCAAATTATCATCCTCCTACTTTTCTACCTAAGCATTTGACAATTTCTGAGCTGTATTAGTAGTGCAATTTTTTCTTGCTATAATAAAGCTGTCTCTTCCTTTCATGAGTGGAAAGTCCTGAAATGTTTTTCTTCTGGAAGTAACACGTTTTGTATGTTCGTAGTTCTTTATTGCCCAGACTTCAAATTGTTTCTACATTCATTACAAAATGAGATGTTGTGTTTCAAAAATTAAATGCATTTAAGCAGTGCATCATAAAAACCAACAAAACATTTGGAGATATTATATATTTTTAATATTTTTTTAGTTCTACAGTCTTATATGTAATGTTTTTCCATCATAGATTTCTGTTTCACTTTGTAGAAAAGTACTTTTTCTTTCAGTTCTATTTTCATTTGAAAGACAGTTGGTCAGACCAGAAACACCTAGCGAAGTGGCACGTCGTGTCTTTAAATCTTTTGATCCTGAAGGAAATAATTTTATACCCAATTCTGATCTAAGTGAGGTACTAAGAAAATTGGATCTTGTAAGCGAACCGGCATAGTAAGTGTCAAATTATTGTATATTCAAATATTTGTGAGTAATAAATAACAAATATTGTTGCCATATATTTCTATTAAATTATAAATAGTATTTATTCAGTAATATTTAATCTCATTTTTGCCTAAATGATTAACACCCTTATAATATTGTCTTTACAGTGTAGATATAATGACCAAAAAATTAGATCCTGAAAATTTAGGTATAATTCTTCTTAATGCGTTTATGGATGAGTTCTTTCCTGAGGAGAAAACATCAATGCCTGATACGTTTGTCCTTTATCATTACAATGGACTTCGAAGATCTTGTCCTGATGGAAAGGTGAGAAATGCATATCAAGAACATGATTTGAAACTCTCAGATCAGGCAGTTCATCTAATTTATTCAAGAATCTATTCCTAGTATTCATTTTGGATTGAAAGCATGTTAAAAAACTACCTTCCAAATCTTCATTCACGCAGCAAATGGGCAATTTGTAGCATGGTAGGGGTGAAATTTCTCTTATGCACATTCTTCATTGTGATGTTTCTATTCTGGGGCAAGGAAGTTTTGAATAATTTAACTTAATTTTTAACAAAAGTAGAGCTAAAGAGATTTCTTTCAAAGGTAAATTAATTTATATTTCTCTATTTTTTTTCTTTATTTCTGTACCTATTTTCTGCCTATAAATAAAATAGTATTTGTAATGGGGTACCATTGCCAGTGATGAAAAGTGAATAAGTCTTTGGAGATTATTACTGAAGTTAAATTTATGATTTCATAGTCTGTGAAATTTGATATGTATGGTTTTGATTTGGTGTGATTGAAATTTGGTATGTATAATTTGAAATGTCGTTGACAACCTGTTTTCATGGCGTTAACAGTATAAATGACATAGTGTTTCTAAGTAATTAACAAATGCAATGGATATTGACATTAATGTTAAATCTGAAAAATGTTTTATTATCTTGCTTTATTGTTCTGAAAGTTATATTTATTTTTTCTCTTCATTTTTTCTCTTTAATTGATTCTCCTTTTTTCAATATTTTGTCTTTTGTCTGTCTCCAATTCTCTTCCTTCATCTTTTTCTGTCTTTATTTCACCTTTGATTTATTTATTTATTTTTTCTTGTTTGCATGTACTGTCATGTTTCCCTGTTTTCCCTCATTTTCATTCCTTTTTATCTGTTGTCTTTTAATTTTTCCTTGTTCTACTCCTTTTTCTTATTTTAGATATCTATCTCATATCTATATTATCTTGAGCATGTACTAGACTAAATATTCTCTATAAACATACATAGTCAAGTTAAAATGAATTTCTTTCAGAACAAAAAAAAAAAAAAAAGAATATATTGTCATTCCATTCCATAAAACTTGATTTCATTGCTACATATTCTTGTGCTAATGTAGTGAAAAATTCTACTGAAATAAAATCTCTGAAAAATTATTTATATCTTGTCACAAACAGAAGTGAACATTTGCGTCATAGGTTTCCAAGAATGCTCTGCATGGACACATTTGGAAGTAAAGTTCATTAATTCCTCACCTAATGAATCCTCTCACCACAAAGTTTGAGTAAACAAAGCTAACATCTGCTTGTGCTAGCAGACCTGCCTCATGCACTCATCATTTATCTCCAGAAAATTATGAGTTAGTTTCATGCACCAGGTAAAAGTTTTAATTATCTGTGAAGAGAATATACATTTTTATAAATCTCTTAATGTTATCAAGGTGGAAGTTTGTCTTTATGACGAACAGTTTGTCTTTTTGAGTGTTGCAATTTTCAAAATGCTCAGTAGTAAAGCTTCTTCCACATAGATATAATTTGCATTGTTCTCAGTCAGATACTGTAGCAACACTGATATAAGATTTATTTGTATGTATTGGTGTAGTATAAATTGTAGTTTTTTGTTCTTTCAAGTGTATTTATGTCAAAAAACAAATTATGCAAAAAAGTAAATCTGCTCTGTCAAGAAACAATTTCAACATTTTCTGAATGTAGAAAAGTGAACAAAAAACCACAATCACATTGGGATATCTCGCCCAGGAGCAATTGGTATTACATGTTTTAGGCAACATTACAATCTTTACCATCTTTAACAGCATGTAAAGAAGTTTAAGAGCATGTTCATTTCATAATAATTTTAATATTGTGTTTTTGTTTTGAGCATTTTTATTTTACATTTCTAAATTGAAGTTTCTCAAAGTGTTTGAACATTGACAATTTGTTAATCATAAGATAAAAGAGAGCAGACCAATTATATTTGCAGTACATTAATTGGTATTTTGTAGGCTTGTTTATATATAAATCCAGCTTGGTTTGTAAAATGGGTTAATTTCTAAAAGATCCTTTTTGTACATAGTACTGGCACATTTTCTTATCCCAATATTTTGAAATTCATGTTCCCCTTTCCTAGAGCATTATGAATTCTTCACACTGTGTCCTCTCATTCTCTTTGATTTTGCTTTTCAATAGTAGCTTCCTTTTAGATTTCTAGAAATAATGTTCATAGAGTTTAAACCACATTCAAAGGGAATTGTGTGATAGATAAGAGAGGAAGAAAATTAATATTTTTATATACAAAAATTTTAATAAGTTCTTGTTGGTTGCTTTGTATTATTTCAGGTAATTTATCAAGAAGGCCAAGCTGTGCTGCTTGAATGTGACATTCAGTGCGTACTGGAGAGCAACCCCATGTTGACATGCCTGCAGACAAAATGGCCGAACATTGAATTACAATGGTCCCGGGGCATTACACCTTCTCTCAATTAAGCTCAGTAAGGAAAATAAAGTGAAGAATATTCATTTAATTCAATTTGCCCATTTTGTATTAATTTGCAATCTTGCGTTTGTAGTCAAAGTTGATCAGCCTCATTGAATATTGTATGTAATCTGTACGTTACATACATATTCGAAAATGTTTCAAATTTCTGTGTATTGGGTAAAATCATGAAGAATTATACATTTATAAGTTTATTTACATTTCATTGGGTTAAACTTAAGAATTTTTGAAAATGTGTGCAAGTTTTTTATCTTTTTTAAACAAAAAATATTTTTGCATATTTACAGCAGTTAAATAATTTATTGTTGTCCAATAAGAACAGTGTATTTATATAATTTTTATTGTCTTTTACTTTTTGGTTGGATTATATATTTGTACCATTTAAGTTATTTTTCATTTAGCAATAACTATAAATTAATTAACGTAACTTCATCCAAGTATTCAGAAAATATTGAGACCACTCTGATGCATACTGTATATACCCAAATGAGTCCGAGATGGTGTTTATAACATACAGTTTCTTCTATGAAAATCTGGGAAATAATTAATTGTAACAGTTTAAATCAACAAATTGTATCATTTCATTGACTTCTCACAACAAAACACCTTGCATAATTGACCCCTACTATTTTACTTGCTCTATTTATTTCCTCAGCTGTTTACACAATGACTTCTCTATTGAACGTCTGTTTCCTCTACAGTAGTGATATTACTGATTTTATTTCTCCCTCCTTGTTCTCATTCTTCTCTTTTTCATGTCAAAAGTATATGCAGAAAAATATCATATAGTGCAATTAATAATTACTCTTCATAAATTACAATTGTCTAGAAAGGTGTTTTGAAGCGAAGTGAATGTTTCTAAATAATATAATTTATGTATTATTTGTTAATAGGTATATTATTTTCTTGTGGTATACAAAATCACATTAATATTTATTCAAGTAACTGAAAAGTATAGGTGAGATGCAATTCAAATTGCAAAGATCAGCATCTTTTGAATGGATTCTTACTACATTAAACATTTTCACAAATCATATTTTTTATTATTTTTTAAAACTCTTCTAGTAGTAATGTACTGCAAAAAATACCATTGAGTTATAAGTATCAGTACAGGATGGCAAATTTTCCTATGAATTATGTTCCAAACTTCTATATAGTTCTACCAACTTGATCAACAACCAATCAGAAGTACTGTAATGTGCTCCAAAGAGTTTGAATAAATGAAAGAATAATAAAATGTCTGGAAAATACAATGTTATGTTCTATAAAATAAATAATAATTATAATATTAAATAATTTGGTTTAAATCGGTATTTATTCAAAACTTGTTTAAATTATTGAAATTAATGGTCCAGTTTTGTGAAACACTAAATGTTTGATGCTGATCGTTGTGAGAAGTATAATAATAAGTTTTCTGAAGTATTCTTATGACCATTGGTTGTGAAGGTCATGGGATAGCATCTCATTATGATATAGAATGACACAGATTATCTTGTACTATAATATACAATGAAGGTTGTAGGTTATCACAATAGTTTCCAGAAAAAAATGGGCTTCATTGAACCAGTTAGGAAATAGAGTTATCTAATTGGGAAGACTAGGTGACTCCATTTTAGACTTAGTCTGAGGCCTTACAGTACAGTTTGTAATAGTTTATAAAAATCTTTGTTTTGGATATCTTAATCCCTGAACATATTGTTACATTACAGTAAAAAAATTTGTGTATGTATTCCCCTGAACAAAATTTCATTTATCGTTAATTATTGCAGAAATGTTGATCTGTGCCTCAAGGTTTAAGAGTAAAGTTACAATGAGTAGAATCATATGTATGTAACCTTTCTGTAAGTGCTGTTGAATGGTACAGATTGCTGAATATAACAGAGTGATCAAATAACATGTTCAATTCGTCTAATATTACTGTAGTCAATTGTTATCTCAGGGATTCTTGATCTAATCCTGAGGCAAAATTAGCACCAAATTGTTGTTAAAAATCTTATTATCTTACTTTTGATGAAATTTTCTTTTTGTATCTTCTAAATTATATTAACTGAAATCTAAGCGACTCTTGTATATACATATATGATGTGATAACTATGCTCTGTATAATTAAAACAAAGTAGACTTCAACTTTTGTAACCTTTTTTTTTTTTTTAAGTAGTTCATGCTTCTTGCAAGTATTTGACCAGATCTGTAAAGAATAGGACCAAAACATTTTGTTTCCTAACCGTTGTAACTTGAACTCATGTGCTCCCTACATCCCAATCAGACTTGGCGAGATGCCAGTGAAAGGCTGTTTGATCACCTTTTTCAATTTTTTTTTTTTAACAATTGGAACACTTAGACCTAAGGCAGCTGCATTGAATAAGGATCTCTTGGACTCGTATAAATTGGAAATGGACCTAGAAATGATGGTAGGGAATTAGAGACAAGTCACCTTATAAACTTATGGAAGAGATTTTTGTTCAGTGTTTCTCCACATTATTTTTTCCTTTTGCATTACCTTTTTTGGTCTCGTATATATAGTGTGTATATGTATATATATATATATATATATATATATATATATATATACAAAAGTTTTATTTCTTTACCATACCTTAATTATTAAGTTTACATCTGTGGCAATATTGACCAGAGCTACAGGAGCTAAAGTAGTTTGTTCAGATGTTGCATTTACTGACTGCTACAGACCACTTCCTAGACCACTTTCTTTAAAGACTTTCTCACTACTATTAGTGATTGCAAAGTGAAAAGCATAGGAACTTGAGAGCAGCACACTGTTGCTTTCAGCAAAGAGCTTGGTGGTTTTGTATAAGGTCCTTTTTGTATTGGCTAGTTATCAAAGTTGGTAATGGAAGGTACTAATGGTGAAGCGGTATCACAGAAGTATTCATTGGATGTACACGACCTATCTTGGAGGTTGTTCAACAAAAATTTCACAAAAGTAATTATTATTACCCTTTCCTCCCCTTTGTACAACTTCGTTAACATGAAACTTCTACTGCCTTGAATATTCATAATACAACCATGATACCAATATAATTATTTTCATAAATTACAATTGACAAAATTATGAAATTAACATGAGTATTATAATAAGTAACTGAGCGCTGTTAAAAGAAAAGGAAATAATTAAGCTATTGTATAAATTCTATCTTGGTAAAATGTGTTTTTGTGACAATTTTTTTTGTCTATTTTACCAAAATGTATTCAAATAAGGGACTGTTTTTGTGGTGTAGGTAAATTTTTCTGTTTTCATCTTTCCCCTGCTCATCTTTGTAACAAGTGGTCAACTGCTTCCTCCCTCCAATATCATGCATGTGTTTCTTGAATGGTCTCTTAGCTGATCCATCACTAACCGTATCACCTATTGTAATAAGATAGTAAATTTTAGGGAGTTATCAATCAAAATTGGAAGGTGCGGAGATTACTAAAGTTTGTTGAAGATGTCTTAATTTATTTATATTTTTAGGAAATTCATTTCATTATTTTTTCAATTTATTCATTTTTGTTTTGTTTTTTCTCGAAAATGTCCTCATAAAAAGAGGTGAGTTTTCTTCTTTGGCAAAATTTGGAATTAAGTATCCACAATAAGAAGCTAAATTTTCATTTAAACAAATGACACTAAAAATTATATTGAAATGGTTAATAAAAAGAAAATAGATTCAAGAACTTTCCAACCCAGATCAGATAAATATGAAAGTTCATTAATCAATTGATAATTGAGTCATACAATAAGTCAATTAATAATTGAGATTGTAAATTAACAGTATATTTTTTCACATTTCATGACAAAGTCCCTCATGTATTGCTATTTTTATGGTAGTGGATTTATGAGAAATTACACCAAAGCGTTGCGTTAAAGAAGTGTGTACTTTTAAAATTAAACAAAAAAAGATGGAGTTACATAATTTATTCGTACTACTCTGTGGAAAGCAACTATTTCCTAAATAAAATGTTTGTTTCAACTAAAAAATAGTATTTCAGTATTATTATTTTTAGTAAAACAAGTTTAAAATTGAAAATGTGCAATAGAATACTTGAAAAAATAATTTTAGAACCAATGGTTTAGTTTCTCAGAGAAATTTGGATTTTGCTCTTCATTTAAATTTTAAATTGATTTTATTAGTACCAGTAGTTAGTGGGAGATGATCATTCACCAAAAAATTAATAATAATCATCAATATGATTAATAGAAAACTTATGCTGGAAATTTGATTGAGTAGGTGGCCTGACAGTGAAATTTAAGATGATTTGGATGGCTTTCTCCAATGAAAGAAAAACGATAACACCAAGAGAATGAAAGCAATGCAGGCACTAAGAAAAAAGGCAAACAAATATTAAAATTCCTTTACACTGTGACTGCCAATGCCCTGTCAGGATTCTTCATGTTTTTTGTTTTTTCTTCTTTTCCTTTCTCTCTTTCTTCCTTTGAATTCATTCTTTTTAGAGTATAGATGGTGTAATCAAATTAAAGGATTATTCTGTATTTTTACATATATTTTTCCAAATTAATGTGTATTTTAAAATTGTTTCAGCCAGAATTAACATTTGTATTCACTGTGAAAAGATTTTTTTGCATAGGCTTGCATACACAATCTACTAGCCAAAAAACTGCTTGTATTTTGCATCAAAATAAAAAAATACTCCTGACTTAAGCCAAACTCATAGAATCCAAGAGAAACTTTTGTCCGATTTCTGAAAGCATAACTAACTTACAGTTAATTACTTTAACCCTTAACTTGGCAAGCAAAGATCGACTCGAGGAAAAAATTATTTTGAAACAAATTATTTACTATTCTTGTGAATAGAAAGAGAAAATAATAATATAATTGTTGCATTGTAGTCCTAAGTTCCAGTATTTTTATGAATCTCACAAGATATGTTGCCAAGTTCCCCTAATGTTTCTTATGGGATTCGTTGCTAATAATAAAATGAATTATTTCTAAGAAAGTACTGGTACATCAGTTCAGTGAAGCATTAATATTTTAACATTTTCTATTATCTTGGGCAACAAAATAATTATATTACTCATCACAACCTCATATTACAAAGGTTGACTGCATTATAAACTCTTACATTTCATTATTTTCATTATGTATCATGTATTTATAGAATTATATTATATATCATTTTTACAGCTGATAATCTATGACTATGTTATTATAATAATAAATATTAGGCCTATTGTTATAAATATAGACAGACATTTTCAGAACACTTTATATTGTGATATAAATGTCAATCTTGGTGTTGTCCCACTTGACACATCTATGTATCTACTGAGATTCTGTTTTCTGTCTGATCTAGAAATGATATAATTGACTTTCTCAAAAATATTCGGAATGCATCATACTCAACTAATGTACAGACATGCAACTTCATAATAGTAAACAAAGCTAAAACTACCATGCAAATTCAATTATATTTAGTGTTCAAAATACTGGAGAAGTCCTTCAATCACCAATTTCACATTACATTGGGTTTTGTTTGTGCTCTTGCAGTTTTCCACAGCAGTCAACAAATTAGAGCAATACATTTTATGTGCTAGAGTCATTCTATAAGACAAATCAGCAATAAAAATGCTGATTATTATCATGGTAAATATTATGTTATGAAAACTATATATCTCATGAAAGATGTTGCCAAGTTAAGGATAAAAAGATACGAAATAAAGCTTGAAAACAACAACTATTATGGTCATTTGTCAATAGTAAATGTCCAAATACAACCATTAATATATCACTTTTTGATTTGATTGCTTTATTTAAAAGAGACTGATACCGTAAATACATAGCATATACATGCATGCACGCATTGTATACTCTGAAAGTTGGGTGTCAATAGTAGTGGTTTCAGATTTCTAGACAACAAACTGTAAAGGAGCCCTAAATTGTTCTAATCACTTTATTTTTAAATTTGCAATAAGAGGTTATAGATAAAATAATGAAAAATGGTTCCCATTTTTGTCATACACTTCTAGAGATTAAAATGTTATTTTTATTTTACATCTATTGAGATTTGTGTTTTGATTAGTATTTAAATTAATACATCACTCTGTTGGCTAAAAGAAAACATCCAAAATTGCACTATTATATAACATAACTACCAGTTTTGTATCTGACTTTCATTTGGGTAAATATGGTAATTTACCATTGTGAATTAATTAGTATGTGTTCTCATTCGGGAGGAATTGCTATGATGCATAAATGTTTTATAAGTAGCTTGATATATTCATGACTTGGATGAAAGAATGCTGTAGTTGAAGAAATTAATTTTGTATCTAACATTTCAATTACAAAAATTTATTCTGAAATGTAAAACACATTAGTTTTAGAATAAATTATTCTCTTTTGTTCTGATGACAGATTATCTTAGTGCTCATATTTAAATTTCATATTCACTACAATGAATAATATTTTTCCAAAGATCAGGGACACGCTTTTATTCTTGCATTTAAAGAATTGTTATTTTAGTTTTTATTGATTTGATTGTCTTCAACTTGTCACCTTAACTTCATGCCTAGCTTGCTGACTATTGTGCCCCCTACCCACCAAAAGCATGAGAATAATGATGTAGTTATTATGAATCTTACATTACTGTTTTGTGATGTATGAAGTGATTAAGAAAAAAATCTAGATTTAAAAGCTGTTATAATTTTAAGAAGAAAAACCATTATTTTATCTTTTTATAGATTTGCCACACTTCTCACCTGTTAGAATACACTGCATTGAATGGAAAATGGGGCTTTAGTTCAACAAGCTGAATATGTTTCAGATCCTCTACAATTCTCTTCATTATGGATGATCTTATGTGCTACGAATTTATCTTTTTTTAAAATGAAAATTGAAGAGGCAAAAAATTGAATTAAATGATATTCTGCTGCTTAATACAGTAGAACTTGAAACACCACATTTAATTATTAGTAAATTATATATATTTGTGCTATAAAATGAAATCTATTTACTAGTTCTCAAAAATAGAATATTAAAAACATTCTTCATGTATAGATTGTGCTACAGATTTGATAGCAGTTTAATTTACATGGATGCTTGTTGCTAGTTAATATTTAATGCAAAATACTAGAACTGAATTGAAAAAATAATTTGCTACTGATATTGCATTATTTTAGAATAAATATTAAATACCTCAAATTTATTCCTTTAATTTTGTAATATTAAAGTACCCGCTCTCTATGTACATATGCATTTATACTATACAATATTGTGAATATGTAAATACGATACATAATTTATGAGGTGAGGTTAAGTTCATTGTAAAGTACAGGTGAATTCTTCTGGTCTATGTTAATGTTTTGTCATTTTGTATGTTTACATCCTTCTTGAACTGTGTGTAACATTGCAGTTTGCCACTCAGTTATGCATTCCTTTTGGTTGTGATAAATCAATATTGTGCATTAAAGTATTTGTTCAAGGATCTTTCTGTGTAATAACATTTTTTTATTGTATTCAGTCTTTACAAAGACTGATGTTAGATATTGTAAATGATAAATTGTAGAGAATTTTTGAATCCCTGAGAAAGTTGTTCCCAAGATAAAGTACTTCTGTATAACATATTCCTTTGTATAAATGAATGAATATATAGAAATTATTCATAGGTGGAGAGTTTGCCTTTTATGTACAGAGCCACATAAGACTGCAACAGTTAAATCTTGATGAAATGAATTCTTTGTCAATTTGTATAATTGATGCCAAAACGTCAGTCAATGTACATTATTTGACATAATTTTGTAATGTGTTTTAGAAAGCATTGAAAATTGTTAATTGTTATTGAAGGGGAGAAAAGTAAACAAAATTTAAAATAAAATATCTGAGACATTGGTTAATTAAAATGTATTTTGGGTAAATTCATAACATTTAAATGTAAAATATATACATATATTTCGTATACAGCTTGAATATTTTAATGAAGTGAACTATGTATATTTGTATTGGTTGTATATGGTAAGTATCATTTTACGTAATATATATTGAAAGGTTTATAGTTAGCCATTCAATGGTGTATTTTCAATAGTATTTGTTATTTATTGTTCTTAATGCATAATTGTTTTATTTGATTGATTCAGCGTAATAATTTGTAAGATTTCAATATATCAGTTTTCATTGTATGAACACAAATTTATTGTTACTCTTTTTATACTCTTATTAAATTTTTGATTTGAATACTCAGGAAGAATTGTAAAAAGTACAGTTTAGCGGCATCTAAATCTGACCTAAAATCTCCAGAATTAGAAATTAGAACTTGTTTACTTCAGTCTATGATTTTGAGATAAAAAATTGATCCTCAATCCTGTCAAAGTGTAGTGCCAGCAGCCAAATAATTTTTTTACTCTGAAAGGCAATATTCAGAAGAATTTTGAAGTAATAAAAGATACATATTGATAAAAATACTATGTTAAAATGCTGCAGTACATATATCAGTGAAGTCTATTAACGAGATGTTTTTACAGTTACGTAATGAAAATGTGATGTGATGCAATTTTTAGTTGTGTTGTGTTTAGATAGCTTATGTAATAATTATTGATGAAAGAAGTTTGAAATGGACATATTAATGATATGACTTTTATTATGATGAAATTTACTATGTCAAACTTGTGTCATTAATACTTTTATTTGCAACAATTATAATAGGGTTTTTTGTATGATAAGGCTTGAATTATGAATTCTGATTCGTTTCATTTCTTGTCCTGTTGATTTCATTGAATCACCTTGCTTCTTTGTGAATTATTGAATAACAGAAAGCCATAGATTTGCAGGGTGGTCACATCCATGTTTTTTTTTACAGTGTGGCATCACTGTCTTTCATTGGTTTTTGCAAAGAAGTGTTATAATGCCAATTGGCCAACAAGTGCTATAATGAAGCTGGTTATAACACTGGTATGAGTGCACTAAACTATTGCATCATCATAAATTAATTTATAACACTTTGTTGAACTTATGGTGAATTACTATCTGAGCTTCTAAATAATCTTCTTTCTTTCCGTAATTTCTGTTATAAGTATCCAGTGTGCTGTCTGAGGACCCTATTCAAAATTTTTATTATGGAAATACATAGGTGGCTCTTACCTTTTTATTGACATGGAACACTACTAAATATAATTGCAATGTGGTGCTTTATGTAACACCAAAAATAATACATTAAGTTACAATCCTAAAGAATGGTATAAGAAAATTATATTCTAAATTAAAGATCCTTGTACTGATGTAGATGACCAGAGAAAGGTCTTAGGGGGGAAATGGTCCCATTTTATTAACAAAGGAATTTCAATATTGTGAAAATGAAGGCTGTGTATAATGCTTACCTTAAAAAACTTGTCTTGAAAATAGCTTCCATCATGTAATTTTTTCTCAAGTTACAAAAGATTTTTTCATATTTTCTTCAGATCAGATTCAATTTTTGAATGTTGATGAAAATTTATACCAGGCTTCATATTCTTGTTAGTTGTAAAATTAATTATGGATAAGTTGTGAATTTCATGTTAAATTATAATTGTATATACACCCGACTAATTTTGAATTACCCGTGCTAAATAATTATCATCCGATATGAAAGTGTTTCGATTTATACATTGTTTAAGACACATAGCACATCCTTAAAAGTATGTTGCAAGGCATCAAATCAAAACTATTTCAATAGTGAGATAAAACTGAAACTGTTAGTCTTGAAATACATTGACGAAACCAGAACCGAATGAAACAATTTCACTTCTTAAAATATCATCATAATTTTGAACAACGGATTACATTCGATTCAAATTTTGTTATTATTCAAAATGCATATACCACATTATTATTAATTTTTTTTCAATTATTGATGTTTTACAACCATGGATGGGTAAAAAATGGTTCTAAAATTTTATAATTTGAAGTTCATTATTATTAATTTTGTAATTATTTATAAAAAATTATTTAAAACATGTTGAAAAAAATGAAACTTCAGCCAAAATATTTTGTTAAGTAAAATTGGAATATTGTTTTCAATGATTTGATGCTGTCGTACTTTCCAAAGTTCCATGAAAAAATAACTAGGTTTTGTTTCTTGAGGCAAATTGTTGGAAAAACTTATAATTACCATCTTGTATTTGTTTACAACTTTTCTAATTTATTTGTATATAATTATTTTGTAACACAAATTTATACCTGAAAGGAATTAGATTCGTTGCATTGTTTTGTATGGAAGCAAAAGCAATATAAATGTAAAATGTTCTTATGTGTTTACTATTGTGCTTGACAAACTCATGAAATTGTTCCTCACAACTTACTGCTGATTTCACGTATGTTTATCATTGTCTATCATATGTTCTTGTGCTCTTTGCTCTTTCTTCCTCTGCTTCCCTATCTAATAACATCAATTTATCCTTTCCATTACCATTCATAGTTTTAAGAATGTAGATGAATGGACTTCCCAACCATTTGATTTTATCATACCCAATTCACTTGCTTCCAAAATGCTTTGTAGTTCTGCTCAGTCTGGAGTGGCTTTACGTACATGTTTTTATAGTTTTGTTATTCTTAAATTTTCTTATTATATTCTATGTGAGGTTTAAGAAGTTTTTGAGTAGGCCTACTGACATGAATAAAAGAAAGAAACTAATAGAAAATATTTTATAGCTTGACAAATTAGAGAAGCAAAATACATTTTTGAATGTGTAATTATATGGTGAAAACAGAATGTTTTTAGATAACCAACAGCCAGCAATTCATTAAAATAATATAAAGAATTACAGAAAGTCTGATTCATTTTTGTATTTTTTCCACCTGAAATTACCATAGATCATGATATGTATCCTAATATTCCTGCAAAGAGTTTATGTGAAAAAATAATGTAAAATTTGGAGATCATGTGTACAATGGACACTTTCTTTTTAGTTTCTTAAGAATCTTACAAGTGAACTGTCCATTTATTGATTTATTTTGTCAAAGAATTTTAAAAACTATATGTAACATATTATAGGGAGAAATACAATCTGTGCACATTTTCTTGCGTTCCAGAATATCTTCTCATCTTCTAACCATAAATAGTTAAATGATAAATAAAAGTACCAACAAAGCAAGGCCTGCAACATTTGAAAATCTTGAAATTTTCACTCTCAAGTTTCAGAAAACTTATTTGCATCAGTACACAAACTACAGATTTAATTTTTTTGAGTATTGTTAACAAAACAGTAACCCAACAAAATGTGTACATAGTGAAACTACATTTATGTCCAAAAGTAAAACAAAGGGCCATCTCAGCATGTGCTCAATAGATCAGGGAAACTTGATGAAAACCTGATAGAAATGGGGATCTTTTCTATTACAATTGTGTTTCTTACTTGTAAGTGTGTCTGGAGTTACTGAATTACGAATCAAGGGGCTAGAACATACCAAATTTCTAAAAATGTAAGAAGATTTAGAAACCAATGGTAATTAATTCACAGTTACCAATAAGAGGATTGTAAATAACTGGCATATACAAACAAGCCCAATAAAGTAAATCTCAGCATTTGGATGAGCACACAGCAAACACCAAATCCTTGAAAAATGTATGAATTAGGTACCAATAGTTGGTAGTTCTGTTACATTTCTATCATTTGGATTGACACATGAAGCTGGGAGAAAGGAATGTGTGTGTCTGTTAATTTTTCTTCTTTTTCATTTAAATTTCCTTTCATATTTTTAACATCTTAGTGCACAAAACAATTAAATGATTCAAACATAAAAGGGTTTGTAAAGAAGTTTTTATTAAGAAATAAATTTAACAATATTTGTATTTCTGTTTATATATTTCATTTTTGTGAAATAGGAGAGTAGACTATGATTTTGCTTTATCCTAAGTTTTTAATGAATCATTGTGAAACTTATTCTTAAACTGGTTTATTTTGAATTGAGATGTCTCTTACTGAAAATTTACACCTATTTCTTTTCATGAGATGGTGAAATCTGTGTTACTGAGATGTGTGTAAAGTGTGCATTTATTGGTATGCGAAAAGACATTTGTATATATAAGAAATGACAATTTGTTCATCAATTTTAATGTTTCTATATTACTTTGCTTTTATAATTTGGCAATATTTGTATTAACTTTATAATTTCACAATTTCTTCTAATGACTTAGTTTTAATTATAAATAATATATTTAAAAATGATTCTGAAACATCCAATTCTTATTAGTGATTGAAAAACTTTTTCTCCAAAAAAAACATGAATGGTACTGAATATATATTTCACATTAGCACACAAGCATTATCTTATGAAACTTTGAAACAAATATGTCGAATGCTCTGTGTATATACATTTGGTATGTAAAAAGAGGGAATGATTTCAATTTTTAAAGGATTTCTAATTCTAATACAATTCTTGCAGGAATCAAGCAGGCTTAAGCATAACTTACAGGAAGCTAGCAACCTGACAAAATTCAGTTTATTATCTCATATTTGGGCATTCATATTTTATTAAAATTTTTAAAACTTATTAAATTTAAATGATTTATTTTTATACATTTATTTGCAGTAGTTTTCTCATGCCATGCCATGGATATGTGATAAATATTGAAGAGAGATCACTTTTATCGAAACAAGATTGATATTATCATCATATTATTAATATCAGAATTTCTACAAGAACATATGCAAATTATAGAATCAAATATTTACATTATTTTTATTGCAGTAGACTAATAACAAATTATTTCTGGACATTTATTTATTCTTGAAGTAATCAGAAAATATAAAATGGTTTAATTGTGGTGTACATCTTACTAGTTCATGTTTTTTATGGCATAAAAACAAAGTATGTAAGTCTCATTATGGATTTTTTTCTAATATGCAATGCACATTTTGTACCTAGAAAAACATACAAAACACTGAGAATAGAACTAATTTTAAATCACTTTAAATACTTATTTCATAAATGCATCAATATGTTAACTTCTAGTATTTACTGGCATATGTACATATATGTAAATTGCAGCCCTTTTTTATGATGTTTCACATCTAAAGAAACAGGTATAAAAGAAGTGTGATAATTTCTCTTGTACACTTGTTTTAATGAACACAAGGGTTTTTTAATTTACTTATAATTTTATTTATTTTTCTAGCCGAGTTGAATTGGGCAACAATTTTACATGTTTGCTAGTGTAATGATTTTTGAAAATTTCTTAATAATTCAAAATTGTGTTCAAGGAACATGAATTTTAAGGTGTAAACATATTATTCCTTTAACGAAACGTGTTAAACTATTACATATAATGGGCCAAAAATATGTTGCACACTAGGTTAAATAGAAAAGTCTTTACTCTTTTTAATGAGGTTTGTGAAAAACTTTAGGAGTACTCTCTTTTTGAAAGCGTAGACATCTGCGGCCGGAATTAATGGATACTTGGTTGTGTGGAGGATGCTGCGCAAAATACAGTGAATTTTATAACAAAAAATAATTTATTTCTTTCTTACACCTTCTACAAAGTAAGAAAAGTGAAAGTATCACACATCAAAAATAGCATTGGATACTTTGCTGATCGGGAGACGCCGCAACCAACGTTTCGGCAGTCATATGGCGGAATGTGCGGAGGTGTTTTTTAAAGAATGAGGTTTCCCTCAACCTGGCTGACGGCACTTGTGGATCCAAGAGGGGGGGGCGGCATGCCCCCAAGCCCTCGAGTTTTCGTTTACCTTCCTTTATTTGGCAAAATTGATTTAAATATCGTGTTGGACTGGCGACCGACCAATCAGGTAATGGCCTTCTGAGCGGGATGGAAGCCGGGCACCGTCCGTGAAGTAGATATTTCGTCGTTAACTGGATAGGTCTCGTGGAGCCGTAGGTCTTGATGCATCCACGTTTTGGAGGCGATTGATTTCCATTTTCTTGACGTCCAACTGGGCGGTCGCCTTCTCCCACCCCGCCCCTGGTAAGTTCCCTGATTGACCGATGCTTTCTCCGCATTGGCCTGTCGTCCGACCAAACGGCAGCCGGGTGGAGAGGAACCTAATACTTTATAAATCCTTGCTCAGTCTATCTACAAGGTTTTCGCCCCGAAGAAGGTCGCAGTATGACGGGCGAAACATAGGCCGTTATACCTAAGGCGCAGCGCGTCTCCTGATCGGCCAAATTCAATGTCTTGTTTTTGATGTGTATGCTACATTCTGACTTTTCTTACCTTGTAAATGGCAGAGATAAAATTATTCTTTTGTAATGAAAATCACTATTCTAATTCAATCAAATCTTCAGTCGCTACTCAGGAATTTTTGAATGTTTGCTGAATGTGGACACTATGAAATTCTTAATTTCAAAATGTTATTAAAAGTTAATAAAAATATTATTTTTTAAATTAATTCATTGTATCTTTGGCATTCACCCCCACCTTTACATCTTCCTCTAGTAATAATTTAATGTAAATTATTGTAAATTCTTAATCAACAATTAATTACAGCTGTGAATGTTTGTATGTAGTTAGAAGGATTGTTTCTAATATGACAATTTAATTCTGTCAGGAAATATGGCATCCTTGCACCTCATCTATTAGCATGCTTGCCCTTTGGTGTGCTGAATGTAATAGTCAATTTTGACTACACCTCATGATGGCAACTGGGGACTGTCTGAAATTAATGGAAATAGACATGGGGGCAAGTAATGTTGGTGATGGAACCCAATATGGTGACAACATGTCACCCACCAGGTATAGCTTTGTTACTCTTTATTGTTTCTTTTTGTCATTGTCACCTGTCAGGAGACACAGACAAATTGTTTGCCGCATTGTACTATCCATTGTGTAGTATACCACCCTTAATTAGCAGTGATATTTCACTTTCATGTTATGATAATGATTTTAATTGTTCTGCCAATTTTAAATTAGTAAAATAGTTGCCCATAAACAATAATGCTCATACAATACTACTCCTAAATGACTGTGTGTGTGTGTAAAATGAAGTAAAATAAAAGAGCAATTCTAGGGCTTACTTCAAATTGTCAAAATTTTCACATTTCAGTTAACTTATTAAATCCTTTTTGTATTTTGCCAGTAACTTATCAGTAATCATTGTAAAACAACAATTGTTAGAATAAGAATATTTTATATTAAGAGCAATAAAACTGAACAATTTTAAAGCCTGTATTTGGGTCTCAAGAATGGCAAATTATCCTCCATTTCACAATTGGAAACTAACTTCTATTTGTCCTACAAAAACCTTGTAAATAGGTCATCCTTGCCGTTATTGGCCTGAGGTGTGTAGTTGTAGAAAACTACTAATGTAAATCGTGGCTCTTATAATATTATCATTCTCTACTTTTTTATTATACCGAATTTCCTTCCTTACAAAAGAAAAGAAAGCCACTAATTTACATTTCATTAAAACAATAAGGATTAATTACAATGTTAGTTTTTGAAACAATACCTGAAGGTAGGTTTGAAAGATTCCTTGTAGAAAGCAATATTTCAAGAACTTCTCTGGTGATAATAATATATCTGTAGTAATTATAATATTCTCTAACTAGTGATATTAATATCTTTAGAAAGCATTGTTTGTAAGTAGGGACCAAAAAGAAAGGCCTCTTGAAAAAGACCAAAAATGTGGGAGAGAAAAACATTCACAAAATGTCCCAAAACATCAAAAGGTGGTTTCAAGAAAGAGGAGATAATGTGTTTGTTGCAGTGGCGCAACCAATCGGGAGGGAATGGGGTTTGAGCCCCATGAAGTCAATGATTCATTTTCAAAAATGTAGCTTTTACCAATTTTCTATACTAACAAATGATATTCAGTATATCAATTGTTAACATTATAAATATTAACAATGAGCCAACAAATTAAAATACATTTTATATTCCGTGTAAAGAAAGAATTTTTTATAAGAAAACAGTATAGTCATCTAGACACTATACTTGTAGCTCCGCCCCACCCCCCACAGAAAAATCATGGGTGTGCCACTAAATTCATTTTATTCCTCGCTTCTAGAGGAAAGTTATAAATTATCACATTTGAAGACGTCAACCTTCCTTTATTCCTCTCTGTACTGAAACCTTATGCCTCTGTTAAATTCTGCTTGTATGAAAATACATTTATTTAGTCTTATTACATTTGAGTAATCATGACTTTTTATGCATTAGGAATTGTAATTTTTAGAAATATTTAAAATTATTGAAGCTTTCTTTGTCATTTTGCAAAATAGACCAAAAAGGAAATTTAACTTAAAGAGGAATTTAAAAGAAAGGGAAGTTAAAAATCATATCATCTCACTCTAAATCACAGATATCAAGAATATTGTTTATTCCAATATTGTTGTCACAAAAAATTAGATTATTTTACTTATACCAATAAATTTATTTTTGAGGTACACTGGTTTTGGTTGGGACATATCCCTACTTTACCCTTGGGAAAGGGTAAAAATCAAATTATAATCTGAACTTCGGGATAGAGGATAAAAACTAGTTTATATTGTAAAATCGTTTTTGATTGTATCATTAATTTCAATTCAAAAGTAATTGCTTGTTAGGTTTTGTAAGAATGCTTTGATGTTAAGGGAGTTTGTCTTATGTTTATTAATGTTTTTATTTTAAATAATTACTGTGTCAATTGAAATTGAATAGCAATTGTGATATAACAATGAAAACTTTTAATAGGTCCACAAAGGGGTGAATGGCCTATTAATATATAATGTATTTTCTGAACAATGAACAAATTATTTGTGATTAGTTATAGCTGCTTTTTATGTACAGAGACATGTTATTAAGTGTTAATCTCAAGTATTTTATATGGAACATTTTCTTTCCTTCAATATTCTTCTATATCTGAATTATATTTCTCCCTGAATCATTACAATAT